CCTCCTTTGGAGACTAAAGGTCGTTTGTCAAGGAGCTGACAAATAGGCGCTTTCAAAGCTTTGTGTGGCTGCCCCGTATCTCCATCTCTGCGCTCGCCCCCGCGAGCCCTCCCAGGAATAAAGAAGGAAGAGGGGCCAGAGCCGTGAAGCGCCCCTCATCTGCTGGCGGTGGGAGGTGGGGTGGCACTTGGGCGCTAGGCTTACGCCAAGTCCTCTCTCTTCTCTGAGCGCGTCGTCGTGTCTCTGTGTGTGTTGTTCTCACTTCTGCATCAGCCCTTTCCATCTTGGGTCGGCCACGCGCTGCCACAGTGCGCTGCCACAGTGCGCTGCCTGGCACGCCCCCCTCACTCTCTCCAGATTTCCTTGGGAGGAGCCTCTCTCCCCGGCTGCCGTGCCCCCGATGACCCAACCCCCTCTCTGCTAGCCCCTTCTTGGCCACTTCCCAACGCCAAGGATGTCCTTGCCCAGTGCCCAGTGCCCTGCCCGAGGAAGGTGCTTCTAGCTTCTCGCCAAGACTGCGTCCTTGGCAGTGGGCTTCTGGGTTCTCTTTGGCGGTTGGGTTGTGCCCACATGGGGACCTGGCATCTGCCTGATGGCAGCGCTCCCTTTCTTGTTGAGCTCACGCTAAGCCCCGCCCCATTTATCCCTTCTTCCCCGGGCCATGCTTTCTGGGTGATTCCCCGGAGGGTGAAGGGCTCCCTCCTCCTCCCCCGTCTTTCTTCCTCCTCCTCCTCCTCCTCTTCCCCTCCCCCCTCTCCCCTCCTTTCTCCCCTCCCCCTCCTCTCCCTCACTGCTATTCACATGTGTCACTTAGCCCTGGGTGTGTGGTTGTCCCTCCCTCCCCTCCCCTCCCCCACATATGCCAGCCCCCTGACAGAAGCAGTCACGTTTTCCTTCTGCTTCAGTCCTTAGGGGAGGCCTGGCTCTGGCTCTGAAAAGGAACCGAGTGATGTCTCTAATTACTCGGAGTGCTGAGAGTGCTCCCCAGCCCCTCCCTCACTGACCTCACAGATGGGGGGGCCCAATGAGGACAGTGGCGCCTTCACCCCTTCCCCCCCAGCCCGCCCCACTCTCCATGCCCCTAGAGACACCTGGCCATTTCTGCAGGCTTGCCTGGAGCCTCAGACACCTGCTACCTGGGTGACCCTGGGCCTTGACAGATGCCTCTCAGCCTCAGTTTCTTCATCTGTAAATGGGGATCATAAGAGCCCTTCCCTCCCAGGGTGGTTGTGAGGAAGACAGCAGATAATTAACACCTGTAAAGGGCTTCGCACACTGCCATCATTTGTTATTGCTCCCACACTAAATCTCTGGCCTCCTTCCCAAGTCCGAACCCCACCAGGCCCACTTCCCATTTTCTTTCTCTTTAGGCAGCTGCGGCCCCTGGCCCTGCTCCTGCTTCGTTGGATTGTCAGCTCCTCGAAGGCAGGGACTGGCCTTTTCCTCTTTTTTGTATCCCCAGCACAGGGCTTGGCACCCTATCGGTGCCTAATAAATGCTTATGATTGGCATTATTGATTTCTGGGGTTCATGCCGGGGCTGGGGCCCTGCTGCTGTCCTGGTTGGGAGGCGAGCTCTGTAGACTGACGGGCTTTGGGGTGTTGACAAGGCCATGCTCAGCCATCCAGCCGCCCTGCGTGCGCCGAGGTCCCTGGCCCAGGCTAGGGCCCTCTCTGCCTCACCATCACCTCTGCTGTCTCCATTTCCTCATGGGGTACAGGGGGCTGAATACTGCCCCCTAGTGCTGGGGGAGATCACAGCCCGGTCATTCCCAGGGCAATCCTCTTGGGGGAAGAGGCCGAAGGGCTCCTGTTTTTCCTCTGGATTTGGGGCGACAGGCTGGGCTCACTTGATTTCACCTGTGTGCTATTTTCAGAGAAAGACGCTCCTGGTACCTGAGGCTTGGGGGCCCCCCTGTGGTCAGTGGGGGAACCACATGTGTGAGGACACGGCAGAGAATGGAAGTGGCTCCCCACGTGTGGAGGGGCCACACCCCTCCTCAGAAAGAGTCAGAAGCAGGATTTGGCCCAGGTCTCTCAGGTCCCAGGCCCGAGGCTCTTTCCACCATGGCGGGCTGCCTTGTCAGTCCAAGGCCAGGGCCGGGGACCACACCTGGGCCAGAATTACTGCCCATTTCCCAGATTTCTGAGCTCCGCAGGCCCCGCAGGCCTGGGATCTATCCAGCCTTCTCTCTGTCCCACCCAGGTGACAGCAGCTGGTTCACATGTCAAGAGAGGCCAGTCTTGGACTCCTCTGCCCTGGCCAGACTGCACCTGCTGGGTTACGGTCACCTCTGGGTGCTCGGGATGCCGTGGAAAACGGAGGGAGAAGGCTAGAAGGCTGAGCCACGTCAGGGGAAGCTTCATGGGGGCCTGGGAGTGTTTGGCCTGCAGAAACCTGGGGGAGGGGGCAGGCACAATGCTTAAGTGTCTGGAGGATTGATGAGAACTGGAGGCTGGGGTAGAGAAGAGGCCAGGAGTGGGGGGGAAGTGTGGAGGTGAGATTGGGGCTGAGAGGAGGCCAGGCATGGGGGGAAGGTGCAGAGGAGAGGCCGGGGCTGAGGGGAGGCCAGGGTGGAGAGGAGGCCGGGGCAGAGAGGAGGCCAGGCGTGGGGGGAATGTGCGAGGAGAGGCTGGGGGCTCCTTGAGGACAGGGGCCAGGCTGGCTTTTACCTTTCTTTACATCCCTAGGGTTTGGCCCAGTTCCTAGCACATAGTAGGGGCTTAGTCAGTGACTGTCTGACTCCTCTTGGCCATTCGTGGCCCACCTCTTCCTTCACCAGTGTCAGCCTCTGTCCTGCTGGCCAAGTCTGGGCCAGTCTCCTTTCCTGACATTCAGGGCCCTCCTGGATCCGTCCTCACCTCCCCTTTTCAGACTCCTTGCCGCCCCCCTAACTCCGGTCACTCCTCTCCTCCAGAGCCTAGCTTGGGTGCTGCCGCCGCCTCGCCCCCCAGCATCACGCCTTCTGGTGATCTGGTGTCAGGGGGTCCTCGAGGGCTCCGCACAGCTCCATGGGGTCAGAGGAGCAGGGTCTGCCTGGGGAGGAGGGAGCTCCTCGGCACCGGACCGATCCAAGCATGGGGTCTCTCAGACGTGGCCGTGGAAGGGAGCCGGCCCGTGACCCTCCGGCGTCCCTCTCCCGTCTCCGGCTGTGTCCCTGAGGCCTGGAGTACCCGTCCTCCCCCGACACCCCCCCCAAGAAGGCCCCCCAAGCTGCTGGCGCCCTTGCCCCTTGCCTCTCCTGTGGAGATAGCTACGTGGCGGCCCTGAGAGAATGGGAGGGACTTGGCGTTGTCTTTGCGTGTCAGTGCGCCATGGGGTGGCTGCCGGAGTTGGTGTCTCGTGTGACGCTCCCCGGGGCCTCCAGGCGGCCAGGCTGGGGCTGTGTGGGGGAAGGGGCCGGGTGACTCGGACCTCGGCCCACCCCAGGGCTCTGCGTCTGAAAGGCCTTCCTGGGTGGAAGGCGAACGGACTGGTCGGCTTGGCTTGGCCCTGGCGGGCAGGCCTCGCGGAGCGCAGGGGCTGCCGCCCTCGCTCCACCCCACGGGGTCCGAGGCCCAGGCTGGACGTGCTGGTCGCCTGTGTGCTGGGGGCGAGCCGCGGGGCTGGGCTGGATTATTTCTGACATCTGGGGGGTCCCTGGGGGTGAGTGCCCATCATCATGGGTGTGGCTGCCTGGGCCCGGCCTCTTCATGCCGGAGATAACCCATAGATGGCAGAGAGGCAGCACCCCCGAGCAGCCGCGAGGCCGGTACGTCTCTGGGGGAAGCTGGTGGCTTTGGCCTCAGGCCCAGGGGCCCGGCTGGCTTGAGGAAGCTGGCACTGATGTCTGTCCTCCACCCTGGGGCTTGTCTCAGGGCCCGCCTCCTGACTGCCCCTCACCAGGGATTTTAGCTCAAAATCCTGAGTCCCCTACGGTGTCTGGGGTCAACCACGGGACCGTTGATTCAGAACTGGCAGGAGCCTCGGAGACCAAGGAGTTCACCCTAGCTGCTGCCTCCCGGGGAAGGTGCCACGTGGGCGGCCGGCTTCCGGCCTGGTCAGCAAGGGCCACGGTTACTGCCGTGCTTGTGAGGGACAGGAGGCCTGTGGAGCCCGGGCTCTCTATGGGATCTGTGGGAGGGCAAGGCGGGATCCCTTGTCTGCGCCCTAGACCCGTCTAAGCTCGCCTTCCGGGGGCCCGTCCCGGCTCAGCCGCTTGGCTGCCCGCGCCTAGAAGGGGGGGCCTGGCCGATCGTCAGCTTGTTTGCGCCCAAAGCTGGGTGGGGTCACGAGCGCCAGAGCATTGGCTCACCAGGACAGAGGGCAGATTCTTATTTTTAAAAAATAAACGTTTATTGAGAACTTGTGCTCCTTTCCCTCTTGGAGCCTCAGTTTCCCTACCCGTACAATCCGTTGGCAATCGTCAGAGCGGAAGTACAGAGCTAGGGCGTGGGGGCCGTCTCCACTTGAGGCAGAAATAGCAGGTTGAGGTGCGTCTGGGGGAATGAGGCCAGATGTGGGGAAGCCCCGTTAGGCTGAGGAGGACAGGCCAGGCCAGGGTCTGCCTTCTCTTCAGCCTCCTCTGGCCTCTAGCCAGGGGTGTGCATATAGTAGGTGCTTACTTAGTGTCCGTGGACAGGTAGATGGGCGGAGGCGGGCCGCTCCCCTAGAGGTGGCCGGCTCCCTCCTGAGCCTTTCCGAGCTAGGAAGGTGAGCAGCTGCCTGGAACGTGCCTGGGGTCCGTTGGAAGGGCGTGTGGCCCCCAAAACCACCTTCCTCTCTAACGCGCTTGGCATCAAGCTCAGCGTGGGGCAGTGGCTGCCCTGGCCAGGGTCGGCGCTGCCCGCCCTGGGAGTCCAGGGAGAGGGGACGGGTGCCCCAGTTGCCATGGGCGAGAGGCGTGAAAAGAGAAGCCAGGCACTCCCCGTTACCGATCGGCCCAGGGACACGCGCCTGCTGTGTGACCGCGGGGCACTCCCTCGACCTCTCTGAGCCCGCTTGCTTCTCTACTTGTGCAGACACGGCATTGGGCACCCCGCCAGGCTATGCCTGTGACGCGGACCACGCAGAGGAGCAGAGGCGCCAGCAGGAGCGGATGCCCTACATCGACGACTCCCCTTCCTCCTCCCCCCGTCTCAGCGGCCAGAGCAGGGCCTGCCGGGAGGTCCTAACCTCGGGAACGGTGAGTCCCAGCCGGCTGGGGGCCGTGGCCGTCGTGGCCCAGAGGTCGCTGAACTGGGCGAGCCTGGCGTTCTCTCCCCCCACTGCCCCTTCCATCCCCCACAGCCCTCTTTCATTGTGGGAACGAGCATTTATGTGATCTCTGCTATGTGCACGGTACTGGGCTAAGCAGTTTTTACACATATCTCATTTGAGCTTTGTGACAACTCTGGGAGGAGCCAGGTGCTATTATGACCCTCATTTTACACTTGAGGAAACTGAGGCAGGCAGTGGTAAAGTGCCTTGCTCAGAGAGGACGTGCCTGGGAGTCGATTTGAACTTGGGCCTTGCTGACTCTGGGCTGGGGGCTCTCTATCCACCGAGCTGCCAGCTGCCCCTGGGGTGGTGTGGGAGGGCTTGTTACCTTCTTTGGGAAGGGGAGCCATCCCTGGCCCCTCCCCAACTTTGGTTGGAAAAGTTCTAGGGATGGGGAGTGGGTTCCTAGGGGGTTGACACGCCCCATCCAGGAACACTGGCCCAGGGAGGTGTGCTTGCTAGCCGACAGTTTCACAACGTCCATGTTCTCTTTCCTAACGAGGCGGGGTTCCCGTGGCCGGACTCTCACTGCTGACCTCGTCTGCCCCTGGCCGTGACCTCTCCTCGGCTGTGTTTCTTCCCATAGAGTGAGCTGGACTCGGAGAAGGGCCTGGAGATGAGAAGATGGGTCCTGTCTGCCATCCTGGACAGCGAAAAAACCTACTTGGGACACCTGGAGGCGCTGCTGCTGGTAGGAGCGGAGGCTGGGCTGGCTGGCTGCGGGCGGGGCCGGCTGCGGGCAGGGCCAGCGTCCACCCCTCGGGGAGCCATCTGGAGCTGCCTTTAATCAGCGCTTGGTGTGTGCAGAGGCCCCGGAGCACCTGCCTGCGTTTATTCAGCGCT